ATATTATTCTTACATCCACATGACATTTATTGACAGTCACCAACACACATTGAGCATAGCAGGCTGTTGAAAAGGTGTCCAAGTTTACACTGGCAAGTGGCAGTGAATAATGGAACATAACCTGAATTGGATATGTAGCGTGTAGTAAACAATTCTCCTTTTTTTTACGTAATTACGGTGCGTACCGATTATCGCACGATAATTACATTAATGGCATAAGAATGCAAGTTCGTGTTCGAGGGTTTCAGGGATCAATAGCGATAAGATGGTGAATAAAAAGTTATACTCGTCTTCTTGTGTGTGTACATGACCATTTAACCTCTCGTCATCACATTGTGCCAACGATCTAGTTGCTATTAAAGCTGATATATCAACTGTAATATACCGATGAACGTACTTAAAACTGCGTCATTGAGTTTTTTCAATCAACGTTGTAGAATGCTATAAGTTACGGAGAGATGTTACGACGAAATAGGTAATTTTTTTAGGCAATCGTCCAACAAGTATATGTAATAGTCATTCAAAAACAAATTACATTCGAATTTAAATTAACAATTATTTTTTACAAAATAGAAAATTAAAATCTGCTCTGTGAATTATCTCAAATAAATACTTGATTTGATGAGAAACTTGATAGTAAAACGAGCTATAAATAATAAAGAATATTATTACTATATTAGATAAAATAGATTGTTTTATTTATATTTAAACATTTTTATCGATTGATATATTGAAATAAAGTGGACGTGATTATATGACTATTAATGACTGTCGTCTTCGTTTTGCAACGATTACAAGATCTAAGAATTACTTTTCAATAATGTATAGAGAAAAATAGAATTAATAGACTTTTTATATATATATATATAATAGATTAATAATTTATATTAAACAGGTTGAAGCACAGAGTAATATCAATTGGTATTATTGTTCTTGTGACAATATTTTACAATGAATTTCTCGTATATGAAGTACAAAAGCTCAAGTGGACCATGCGCGAATGCTCCGAGTGTGTCAAGATTCTTCTTGTTGCGGATCCTCAAATACTTGGGGAAAAATATGAGAATTACTTTGGTTCATGGATAGCAAGATGGGATAGTGATAGGTATTACCAGCAAACATTTAGTAATTTTATTGTAATCAATAGACGAGAGCTATACAGATAATTTGTATTTTGTTACACAGGTATTTAGAAAAGACTTTCTCGAGAGCATTAAAATTTTCTCAGCCGCACGTTATTGCCTTCTTAGGTGATCTCATGGATGAAGGTCATATAGCTAATGCAGAAGATTTCGAAAGGTACAAGAGGAGATTAGATTCAATATTTTCGATGCCAGATGATATAATGGTATTTTACTTTAATTACATAATATTTTTTTCTCCCTTGTAGAAACTCTATGTTTTATTGCTAGTTTTGTCTTTTTTTAGAAAATTTATTTGCCAGGCGACAATGATATTGGAGGTGAGAACGATCGTGTTTCTCCCAACACTCACAAGAGATTTAATTTCGCATATACTCAGCCAGACACATTAGTGTACAAGACCGTTACCTTTTTCAAAGTAAACACAAGTCTTCTAGATATAATCTTTGCGTGTATGAGAAAAATTGGCAAATATTTTGTTTTAGGTAAACAGATTGACACGCACGATGCCGGAAGCGCCGAAGGATGCGTTTCTTAATGATTATGCGGAAAGGAATACGACTAATGTTATTCTTAGCCATATACCTTTGCTGTTTACGCCCGGAAGTTTCGTACAAAATGTACTTTTCAAGAAAAGTATTAAGTACCAAGAAGAGAAGCTCACTTGATGATTTATCCCGTATCACTGTCTATTACAGGTAATTAAAGAGTTATCGCCGCAAGTCATTTTTACCGCACACGAACACAAAGCGATGCAAATAAGTCTGGACACGGCGACGGATCAGTTAAGCGACGTCTGGATTTTGTCACCTTATGAAACGCTTCTGTACCAATTAAGAATGGACGTAGGGGACATTCACGAAATACAAATACCCACCTGTTCTTACAGAATGGGTACGCCACACATGGGTTATGGACTTGCGTACATAGGTATAGATCTTTCAGTATGTTGAATTTCTCAAGATTTATTATCGGTTATAATTACATTGGTATATATTGTGTGTATATGCGTTGTAGATACTCAAGAGAAAACTGTTGAATTCACGATTCTGTGGTTACCAGACAGATTCCCGCTGCTACGTGCTTACATATTTATTGGTATATTGGTCGTCATACTTGCCATTTGTTTTTTCGTTTCGGGCTGTTGTGTAAAAAGCTATGCAACTTATAATCGTTTACCTCCCGTTTAAAGTAAGGTTTAATCAAAAGTACTTACGCGTTTTTAAATAGTGAATTAACTTAGCATTGTGATTAGGCACAAAGATCCGTCCAGATTATATGATCTTCGACCGTCTATATTAAATTCCAAAAGAAAATAACGGTTGTTTATTAGCTGCCACGTTGAAATAACTTAAAATGAAACTTAGGTACTTATATTTGATGATACAAATTGATACAAATGTCGTTCTATTTTATTCACTGAATGTCAAGGAAGATAGAATGATGTTTTGTCGACTTGTATCACTAAAAGGTATTACCTTGTTCATTAAATCTAAAAAATCTTAGATCTCCAAAGCAGGACGCTTTTAAGAATCTCTTTCTCTTAAGACTTTTTATAAAATTATTTATGATGAATATATATTTATTTGCTTTGAATATTAATCACACAAGTCGTCATACATGACTGAAAGCATGCCAAATATTCTATCGAATAATAGCGCTGGCTTTAAGCATATTGACTGATGTTTGAATTATAATTCGCAAGTAATTTAGAATCTCAAAAAAAACTTATCTTCAAGAATAGATAAATAGTAAATGGTGTGAGTTCTTGTAAGAGTTTTTAAATTATTATATATGAAATTAATTCTGTATTGTTTTTCGACATTCTAAATCACCGTTTTCTTCAGCTTTAAAGCCAGCGCGGCATAAGAGTATTATGTACATAACAATACTTATGAATCTCGATGTTTTATTCTACAATCGTTGTGTATATATATATATATATATACACATACAATATGCCAAACGTTAATGTGGCGGTATTCGAACGTCACTGTTACTTAAATGATTTATACATTATAAAAGAAAAAACCTGCTTGAAATGCATCATCACGTAATGTTAATGAGATAATAGAAAAAATCTATCTCAAGATTATGCTCTCTTAGTTAACGAATAAAAGATTCTATTATATATCATGTTATAAAATATAGAAGTATAAGGAAGAATTGTTGAGCAAAAATGTATTATAAATAGATCGATTTATATTTCTTCGTGAATCTGTATACACACAATATTTGAAATAAATGTGTTGAGACACAAATTTAATCTATTGTAAATCGTCTTATGCGGAGTCTACAATAGAAGTCGTAACGGTCGTAGGGTCTTAAATCGTAGAAAATTGACCAATCACAGTCGAGTATTCTTTTCATATTCGACTGTGATTGGTCAATTTTCTATGACTTAAGACGTAACGACTGCTACGACTTCTATTGTAGATCCTGCATAACATGAAGATATCTTATTTTGTTAATATTATGATGATTTTTTGATGATTTTTCAGGAGATACCGAAGAATTATTAAAATGTTCTGTGTAAATGTTATAATAAACATTGCTTAACTCTTCTGTCAAAATCTGTAATAAAGTTAACGGATGCTAAGTCTGTAAAACCTATTTAATTTATGTTGTTAAGAGTATGATTTAGTTTTGAGTTTTTTTTTTCTCAAAAACTGATTTATTTAAACAAGATAATGAATGAATACCTTAATCAAAATATTTTCCTTCGTTTTCTACAACTTTTTCCTATCTTTCTGGCAAGAGATAATTGATGTGAAATCCATTTTCCTTCTTTGTGAATCTTTCCCATATCATGTAAACGTTTAGTAACTGTTGTACGATCAACATTTAATTGTCTGGCGAGTTCTGAAGTGGATTGTGCTGGATTTTTTTCCAATATCGCTTGCAAATCTGCATTTTCCAGCTTTTTTGGTTGTCCTGAGCGATCTTTGTCATTAACATTGAAATCACCACTTTTGAATCTTCTTCTTCTTCTATTTGATTGGCCCAGGTCCTCGGATTGGCCTGAACCAATATTCACGTGTCTTAATTGATGGAGCAACATCACCATAAGTTTCTATCAGAATTCTACGACCTTCAGCCGCCGTTTTCTTCTAATTAAAAAACAAAAGCAACGCATGTCAAAAATGCTCTTTAGGAAGCTCCATTTTTTTAATGATACAAACGCAATGTTTACTGCGTCTATTGTCAGTAAACGACTAATGGGTCAATTCTAAGTAGACTCGTAAGAATCGTAATGTGTTCTCGTAAAATTTGTATATATAAGAACTTGTGACTAGTATTCTAATTTTATGCGTATGTATCATAAGACGTATGATTATTCGTAAATATCTACGATTTCTTGTAAATTTTATGGCTAGTAAGAAGCTGTCTGCAAAAATATTGTATAAAAGTATAAGCACTTAAAAAAAAAATTCTTACAAGTCTTACAGGAATATGTTACGAGCCTTACGATTCTGCTTAGAATTTAGGCATAAATATGGAGTAATAGCTGCGATTGAAATACCTTCGACAACACTGATATTAATCCCATCTCTTACAAAACCCTTAAAACTAAATCACACTACTAATAATTAAAACACATTAATTAATTACAAGGAATCAAAATGGCATAACTCGTATAAAAAAGAATGAATACTTACTAATGCATACTAAGTATATTTTAATAATAAAAATCCAAATTTACAGAAAATTCAATTTCAAGAAAATTGAACTGTTTGACATTTTTGACAGAGATTTTTATAAATGAGTTAGTTCCAATCATCAGTTTGATTAGCTCCAAACGGTGTCAATATTTTTTGATATTCAAGATTTCGAAATAACACTCATAATATTTAGATACGGCGCTTTTGATCTTCAAACACAAAAGCATTCCCGCCTGCCGGTATGCCAATAACCTTAAAAGGTTATTCCGTCGCAGTAAACAAAATAAATATCGTTCGTCGAATGTAAAATTAAGAAGTGACAAACTGAATCGATTATTTCCACGAAATCTATATCGTGTTCTCTTCTGCATAATGGGTAAGAGGAAGGCCACGGGCAATGCAAACAATCCAAATCAGGACCTGTGTGATTTTTTGATGGGTAAGTAACATCCTTCTATATGTTGTAAAATTATTTCTTCGTTGAGAAGGAAAGAGGGAATAGAATAGAATTTATTACACTTCAGCATTTACATAGCCAAGAAGGGGATTTGGTTTACAATAAATTCTTACCTCATTCATCCTTCCATACTTTTCATACACGCTCTTATTTAACTATTTTACTATTTAACTATTTACTTCTACTTTCTACCTCTATCTTTAACTTTAGCATTGCCGCTTTCCGATTATAACATATTTATCGCCTAATTAAGTCAGTCTTATATTATCTTACTATGTTTTTATACTATTTATTCTATTTTCTACAACCTATGTCCTATTTCACAGCCATATCTTTTCATAGCCTTTCACAGCCTTTCTTATCCTACACAGTATTTATTACCACTCTACTCCTTATTTTTCTTCCCAGAAAGGGAATATGATTCTGTTTAGATTTGTATTGTAAGAATATACGAAAGATATACAATAAGATATCTATTTGCAGAACTGGCAGATTATGAACGTAATGTCAGTAAGAATATTTACAAATACAATGCATATCGCAAAGCAGCTGGAACATTAAGTGCTTTGACGGAGAGAGTTAAGAGTGGAGAAGAGGCGAAAAAGTTACCTGGAATAGGAGTAAAAATCGCAAAGAAGCTAGATGAATTTCTTCAGACTGGAAAACTGCAAAAGCTGGAAGATGTACAATCTTGAAATGAGAATTTAAATATATATGCGAATCTTCCTATATATATATATATATTTTCTTTTTTCAGATCAAGAAGGATGATACTAATGTTGCCATTAGTCTATTAGCCCGGGTATCTGGAATAGGTCCTGCCAAGGCAAAGGAATTAGTGGAAGCTGGTATCAAGACTTTGGAAGACCTTAAGAAGCATCAAGATAAGCTTACACATCATCAGAAACTGGGATTGAAGTATGAAATTGATTTGTTGACATTGCATATACTTCAACTAATACGATAAATTTTTTTAGGTATTTTGATGACTTTGAGAAGAAAATACCAAGAGCAGAAATTGTACAAATAGAGAAGATATTGAAAAACGCCATCAAGGAGCTAAATAGTGCTTATCTCGTAACTATCTGTGGGAGTTACAGACGTAACAAAGAGGAAAGTGGAGATATCGATGTTCTTGTAACTCATCCTAATTATATATCAAAAGCAAAAGATGAAAAAAAGAAGGCCATATCATTGAAAATAATTGTTGAGTGTCTTGAAAAGAAAAAACTGATTACAGATACAATATCTCTTGGCTCTACTAAATTTATGGTATAATAAAATAGAACTAAGAAGCGCTTATGAGGAAAACATTTTTAATTATATATTGTTTTTGTGTAGGGAGTATGTCAGTTACCAGAAGATAAAAGCAAGCCTTTCAGACGATTAGATATACGTCTTACATTTCACGATCAATATTATTGCGCCATACTTTATTTCACAGGAAGTGATCTGTTCAACAAGAACATGAGAGCTCATGCATTGGAAAAGAAATATACTTTGAATGAATACGCACTAAAGCGTCTTACAATCGAAGGTAAACTATGATCGAGAAACAATATATAAATAATATGTAAAAATGTAGCAATTCAATAAATTTCATAATTATAAAAGAGATTATTTTTAGGTCGTCCAGGAGAAGCTGAAAAAATTACATCTGAAAAAGATGTTTTCAAATTCCTAGGTTTACCCTATAAAGATCCAAAAGACAGAAATATATAAATGCAAAAAAATTTTCTTTTTATATTCATATAATTTGTTGTCATATACAAATATGTTTTATGTATTATTTATTTATATTGCAATGTAAAATAAAAAAATTCTGTTAAAATTAATATATTAAAAATAAAAAATCATTCACACACAATGAATTTTATAAAAACTTTATTTAGAAAGTTAATACATAATTAATAATAAAATGAAAATTACGTTATTTTTATATTTTACAATATTTGTCAATCAACAATTTACTTGTATAAGAACGCTCAAATGCTCTCTTTCTATTCATCATTTAATATTTTAGAATTTTTTTTGTAAATCACACAGTCTCATAAGCAAGTATATATCTGCATTAACAATAATGTAAGTGTAGCAATTGCTAATAATGTACTTAATCCCTTGCACACAGGATTATAATGCTTTACGATAACATTAATAATATCTTTGACAGTGTTAATTTTAAATAGATATAATTATGTCTTTTAAATACAACCAATATGCAATAACACCCCATAACGTTGTGGTCCACAAATTCATAGCAAGAACTGACCAATGCGTAGCATGCGTCAGTGTCCAAGCCCATGGAAATATGCCCTTGGTGACAGTATGCCCAATATAGAGAGTAATTGGATTCAAACCTAAAACAAGTATAAAATAAAAAATATGTAGAATTCATTTTAGTTGCAGTTAATGCATAAAAAATGAAATGCATATTTGGGCACTGCATGATAAAAAGAGGTAAAAAAAGATTCAACAGGACAAAGAAATTTATATGTATATTATTAAATAACACATACCTGCATAGTTGAATGGTGCACCGCTCCAATATTGTTTATAATCGACAAAGACATATAAGATTGCATATAATAAAAATGCAAAACAGGATACTGTCAATACAAATGAAAGCGACATCATCTTCTTGCTGACTGGTATTACTCCAAATTCTTTGTCGAAGTCACATAATATTCCAGCAATAAGACCCTGAATATCAATACCGATTATTATTAATCGTATAAATGTACTTTCTTTCTGTTGCCATTATGTTAAATAAAAAATTGGAACTTACGGTGACAAATGACCACAGTAACCAGCGTATTACTTTAGCATTGCATTGATAGTAGAGCAATAAAATCTTTCCAGCATGGACACCCAAGTACACAACAAGTATTATAGACATAGTGTTCATTATACCTGTAAGTGACACGTTAATTATAAATTTCATTATGCAAAATTTATAAAACTTTTATTGGAAAAAATAACATGTGCATACCTTCAGGATCATGAGGCAAGATGGTACCATACACAGGATTTTGTGTTTTGGAGTACATATGATTGCCAAACACAAGTCTGTCTATGTAACCGGCTGCACCTCCAGTACAATTAGCGAATTTTCCGAAATGATGATAACCACCGGGTCCCAAATATCCTGTTGGACAATTCGGAACAGGCAGGAGAAACGTGATTAGGATATGCGTCATCATAATCGCTAAAATGATCAACCACTGCGCCCAATTGTTCAAGATATCTCGCAGGACTGTAAATCGACCGAACTGTAACACGTCGTCCTAAGAGATTATTAATTATCACTATTATTGATCCACCGTAGACATACATAACGCGTTATTATAAAGAAAAAAAATATGATTCAAACCTGAGAATGCGTCTTCATAAATATAGTCTCAATAGTGGCGCATATGAAGTATGAAACAGCCAGCAACTGAAGAACACCAGGAAACCGGAGATTATCTAGCGACTTTGCGTAAATCGAGTTCAACATCAATCCGAAAAGTATGAGAATAATTGTACGTTGCAGGCAACGCAAAATAATCTTTCCACGTGAATTTGACACACGAAGTTCTGATCGCTTTGATATAGTGATCGACAATCCCATGATCCACGCAAACCTGAAAATGCAGTGTAAGAGTATAATAGCGGTAGAACGAAATGTAATATAGATGATTTACCAAGGTAATACTAAGTCGGCCACTGTCAAACCATTCCATGCGCTATGATTAAAAAACGTATACTGGCCACCTCCGCTATTGACAAATATCATCAATAATATAGCAATCCTGAAATTATTTTCATTATAATATATAATGTTAAGTGCGTTAAATCATTTCACATGCAAAGGCAAAAGATACCCTCGGAACGTATCGACTGAACGGATCCTAGTACTAGATCTGTTTGTCCTAACCATTATATTTGAGGTCTCTGCTTCTTGAAGCTCGTCCAAATCCTGAAAGCACATATTAAAAATCTTGAATTAATAATATCAAGCTTAATCTTAATAATATCAAGCATAACACACATAGTCACGTGATAATACATATTTGTATGCTTACATCGTGTACATTATCTGGAGATAATTTTCCCTTTACTACACGTATAATAACTTTAATAGTAGCAAAAAAAACAGTTAGCAGAACAAACACCATGAAAGCTGCAAATATTGCTGCAAGAAAAATAATTATTGACATCAACTCCATAAATTAAGACTAATAACAAATTCAATTGGATTATATTGTATTGTATTAATGTGCACTGGTGAATGAATTAATAAAAATATGACAAAAAAATATGATGTATGTTTAATATAAATATAGAAATCTCTCGCGTAATCCTTATTATACCTTATTATATTTATGCTGTTTGGTAAAATATGAATTTTATAATTCGAAATATTAGCATTTCACTTTTAAATTCAGATGAAATTACAATGATTTTAATAAGCACCAGTGTTCTTTAGTGCGTTAAATCAAATTCGCTATTAAAAAAACTGATGTAAATTCTTTTGGCTTACGAAGATAACTGTTGATCGATTCACGAATGGTATAAATCTCCGAGCAACGCTGCTCCTCAGAAATATTCCACCCATAACTTCCATGTTCTTTAAAATTGTATGTTGTGCTGTAAACAGACGAGTTACAGTATAATAATTGTATATTTTTATATATTAGTAAAGATGTGATAAATAAGACGATCATAGGACTTGTATGTACTGTTACTTACTGACACCATTCAACCTTATCTTTGTAAAATATGTGCAAGGGAAATTTTGTAGATACAATTAATGTGCTATTTTCTTTTGCTGGTAAAATAGCTTGTGGAACATCTTCGCACTACAAAAGCAAAGGACAATATTGTTAACAGTTTAAATAAAAAAATTAATGTTTCTTTCAAACTCAATAATTTTATTTTATCAAATACGTACCAGATAGCAATCCGCTAAATGAGAATACAATGTAACAGATCTATTATATTCGTTCAGAATGCTAAAACACGCTTTATCTATTCCAAGCGTAGCATTAGTATCGAGACAAGGATTCACTGCAACGTGTTGGATCATAACAGACATTTTGCTGTGATCACAGTTGCTTCATTAAGATCAAGATCTTCCCTAGTATAAGTACCACTGAAAAATGAATAAATATGTATACAAAGAAGAATCTGACAATGAAGTTCTTGGACCGCAGCGATAAAAAGATACGTCTCAGATAATAAAATGTTATATTTTATTTTTCAAAGTAGTCTCCTATCGACATCAATACATTTTATACATCTAATAAAGTCTCAAAACTTTTTTTAAGGTCCATAATTAGAGTGTTATTCAGAACACTCATCACATTTCTTTAATGCCTGGTTTATGCTTCGGTTTTAACCCTAAAATCCTAAAATTCAGCCAATGGAATACAGATTTCCGTTACGACCAATTAAGACTGGTAGCCCTATTGGTTGAATTTTAAGATTTTAGGATTAAGACCGAAGCATAAACCAAGCATAAATATCCTTGACGTCTTGAAAATGTTTACCTTTCATCATATTTTTAAGCTGTGAGATCATGAAATCTGAGAAGTCAAATCTAACTAATTAGATGGCACATCTCAATAATCTCTTTAGCTACAAACTGTTTCATGATAAGTTCTTTGTGCTCAGGAATGTTGTCATGCAATTTTCTTGGTCAAGAAAAAGTTGTTGAGACTAATCACCACCTTATTCATCAGATCTGATCTTTTCAGATTTCATGCTGTTTTCAAAGCTGAAAAACATGACAAAAGATAAACATTTTCAAGACATTGAGAACATTTAGAAAAATATAACGAACACTTGAACAGTGTTCTGACAATAAACTTTAAAAACAGTTTTGAGACTTTGTATCAAAAATATGTGAAGTGTATTGATGTCATAAGGGATTATTTTGAAAGATAAAATGCAATGTTTTATTACCTAACAATGAGATGTCTGTGTTTTCTTATTGCTCCAGGAACTTTATTGTCAGACTACAGTTGTTCAAAAATTCACTGCTAGCGCTAAAAATCTATAGTTTACGTTACATGCACTATAATTGTCAGCAGAGATAGTGAATTTTGAAACACAACCTATATAAAACTCAACAAAAAAGAATAGCAGGCAGATGCAACACTGACACGATATTGAAGTTCTCTTTTCTGTAGCTGTGCTGCAACATATCTTTCGCACTTAAAACAAACTTGATATAATATAATACTAGTTATAATATTATTTAGATATAATATTTCCGAACACAAAATAGGAAGATTATGCGCAATTTACAGGATGATTTAAAATGCGTTTCGTCACATTACGAAATATTAGGCCTGTTCTTTTTGGCTGAACTTTTGCACTGAATCTTTTCTTCCTGGAGAGAAAAGGAAGAAATATGAACTGGTGCAAAAATTCAGCCAAAAAGAACAGGTTTATTAATTAAATCATATTTACTAAGTATACCTGTATATACATGGCAGCTAACACAATAAAAACACGGCAGCCAGTGATGCCAGATTCTGACTTGCGCTGACTTGCGCTACCAACGCTAGCGCGTGGTGGGGGAAGAGTGGGGGTAGTTGCCGATAGCTACAGCTATAGGTTTGTCGCGTCGCAAGATCCAACATGCTCCAACATGCTCCACCATAGCTCCTACTCACTCTATCAAACGGGTTGGAGTGAGTAGGAGCTATGGTAGGAGCGTATTGGGACGTGTTGGAGTATGCGACGCGCAAACTTTATAGCTACAACTATCGGAAACTACCCCCACTCTTCCCCCACCACCCGTTAGCGCAAGCCAGAATCTGACACCACTGACAGCAGCACGGCTGGATGCACATTGCACAATGCACGGATATATCAGAATCTGGCTACCAGGGAGTAAAACAATGGAAATGAGATCGTAGTTGGTCGCAGTTCTATTTCGGACTTTGTCACGGTTAAGAGACCGCAATTTTATACTAAAACACGGCTTGTTTCTTGCTTGTCACCTTTCTATAAAGAGAGAAAACCGAAAACTCAGGTTGCTAAAACGTAGAAGACGTCAGAAAAAACGTACCCAGCTAGAATACATTATACATTTATAACTACGACGAGACTCTGTTTTGTATTAGAGTATTCTAAAGGAGGGGGGGGGAGACACTCTCAAAATCTTTCAAAAATTGGAGAGACTAATCAACAAAAAATACATAATAACAGGATAGAACTGATTAAAGACGCAATCCAGCGCAACTCACAATCTATCATTGATTTACCGTTGGAAACAATTCCAAAAAAAAAAACAATTGCATCAATACTACAAAATAGATAGCTGTTAGTAGTTCTGCACAAACACGATTTGGGGTGATTCCGAACCGAGTTAGTTTAGCTTATTTTTTTTCCTAGATGGCAGCTCCGTAACTAAACCGAAAAGTGTTCCGAACCTGACGGTCGTCAATATAACATATGTTCATACATACGAATTTTTTCCCGAGTTGCAGCTTATGAGCTTGCTTTTATTTTCTTTTTGTAATTATTATATAATTTGCAAAATGAATTTAAATAAAGCGATAATATTCGAGACAGTTTTCACAAGTTCTAGTTCAAGTGAGAGTGACGATGAAGATATAAAACTATTTCTTGATGAAAGCTTTCATTATTATATAATAGAGACATGAAAGCTTTCATCAAGAAATAGTTTTATATCTTCATCGTCACTCTCATTTGAACTAGAACTTGTGAAAACTGTCTCGAATATTATCGCTTTATTTAAATTCATTTTGCAAATTATATAATAATTACAAAAAGAAAATAAAAGCAAGCTCATAAGCTGCAACTCGGGAAAAAATTCATATGTATGAACATATGTTATATTGACGACCGTCGGGTTCGGAACACTTTTCGGTTTAGTTACGGAGCTGCCAACATCTAGGAAAAAAAATAAGCTAAACTAACTCGGTTCGGAGTACACCCTTGATATGCCACGATTCATGTTGGGCATGGTCGGCAACCAATTGTGTTCGGTTTTTAGACACACGCGGTCGCGGGACTTTCTGAAAGGCAGCGCGTAAAGATGACTTAACAGAATCAACGATTTATTGCTTAGGAATGATTTTGGGTGCGATTCACCTCACGCTGCTTTGAAGCATTTATAATTATTTATTAATAATATAAGCATTATAATTTTTTTTTCTATTGAAAAGAAAAATTGAATTAATTAGGGACAATACTTTATACACGTAGAACAGAGAATCAGCTAAATTTCATCATAAAAGCGATTTAATTGAATTGTAAGGGTAGGAATTTTTTAAATAATCAAAATATTTTAATCTCTTAAAAAAAATATTTTTTTTACAAAAGTTCTCAAAAATAAAGAAACATACTGAAATTGTACAATTTTTGTAAGTATATAAAATAGATATCTATATTGTAAAATGTTGACAAAAAAGATGAAGTATAAATAAAGACTGCGTTCCATAAAGAGCATTTTATTCTTATTGAGTATTCGGTAAACGATATGGATAAAATGATACATCAGGTGCATTTTATGGAGCACACAACTAAAGTTAAATAATGACTGTATATAACAATCCTACATAGTAAACAATAACATTTTGTATTAATTGTTAGAAACGATCAACTCAAATTTTTAAAAATTTTATATTGAATTTTTAACATATTCGAATATTAATTTAACATAAAATGTGATTATATCAACTAAATAATATTTAACATAATAATCATATTATGTTAAATATTATGTTATTTACAAATTTTGTATTAAATTGATATTCCATATTTCGTAGTGTCAAAGTAACACAATTTTTATGAGTGACCAGATAATATAAAAATATTTTTTTACATAATATTTGTTTTACTTTCTAACATGCATATTCATCTTTCGTTAAATTAACACAAAAATTTGAGTGGATCATTTAGGACAATGCGATAAATTTAATACAAATTGTCCAACTGTGTACTGTTTACGATAGCGACCTTTCCAAGGTTCCCGATTACTGCGCTTCGCAACCACGAACATCCTGCGACGTGACAAGGTTCCTGCGGTTTCACGAATAAACATCACGTTTCTATTAGCCGCTCGCGACGAATAGCAAACGCGATAACAATCAAACGTGATAAGGTCCGATAAGTCGGCCGTCTGGTAGGAGTTCGATAATTATATACGAATGGTATCTGAAGTTTATCAGTCGAGATTGACCCTTTTCACAGTCGTTTCTCGTCGGACGTACCTCTTCGCAAAACTTTCGACGACGCATATAAGGATCTACAGCTGCTCAGTGATTTTGAGGTATCTTAGAAATCTCTCTTACGACCATGGAACCCTCGACAATTGACGAAGCTGAGTCTGAAGCTGAGGTGCAGCAGGTAAAAATTATACGGGCAAAGGAATTATACGACACAAAGGAACTAAGGCCCGACTAAGCACCAACGTTACTGTGACTTTAAGCGAGATTTAAAATCCTCTGTCTCGTTTTAAAGCTGAAAAGAAACAGGAACAAAGAGAGTTTTAAATCTCACTTAAAATTAAAATAACATTGGTATAACCGGGCCTAAAGGAAATAGATTTTCTGCTCTTGTACAGCCGGGGCCTCTATTCTTTGAAAAAATCATATACGAAAAACTATAGTAGACATAATATATACTATAGTATTTTCTTAGTATTTTGTAATTTCTTTTCGAGAATAGAAGCTCTGGTTGTGGAAAAGTAGAAATCTATCGTACATTCGTATATCCTTAATCTAAAGCGCTGAAAACTGTGCGTGAGGAAAACAGAGTTCTGCAAAATTGAAAAAATTACTTTTTATATACTCTCTCATACTATTAATTGTAAGCTTGTGTAAAATTAAAATTTACTTTGATCGAAATAATTTTACATTAATATGTAGCATTTTACTATCAGATATATCAATTTTGAAATAATCGAAAATATACATAGCTAACAGGTAATATTTAAATTGTTACTTCAAATTACGCTAAATTTTCAATACAATTATATTAAATAATTCAAAATCCTTAATCAAAAGAAAATATTTCTATTAACAAATATATATATTTTGTAAAATATTTCTTTTCAATATTAATTATTTAAAATAAACAGTTGAAGAAACAATTTTGTGATATATCTATTAGCCTTTACGGTATACTGAGCTTCATATGTTTATTACGATTGAAAATTAATGTAATACAATGCATAAAAAATTGTTTTTGTATATCTACTAACAATTTCTACTACAAAAGAACTTGTTTTTTTCTACAAACTTTTAAATTTTATTCATTTAAAACACAAAGGCCTACGTTTCCCTTTTTCGCGTCTTCTTTTCTTCTGCGTTATGTTTCAAAACAATTATGCTAAATCAAATTTATTAATAGACTCCCTTTTAATGTTCTTGTACAAAGAAAATTCATAATGATTTTTTAAAAAATCACCATTAAAAGATGACAAAAGAAGTGAATCACTCTATATAAATTTAAATTCATAGAATATAAGTATCAATACTTGTGATCAATGATCTGAATCATTGATAACGGTCGCTTGTTTCACTATCACTTGGAGAAATTTTTAATCTCTAATCTGTTAGAAAAGGATGACTAACTTAGTAGCACAAATATACTGCGATACTTGTGGCCTTTGCTGTATCGATAGCTTCCGTTATACTGATTTCATCATTGATCACTGCTTTATTTAGATAATTGTTCTGATAATATAGATAAATAAGAGAGATTTTGTGAACGTGTGTGATTTAATCAATATTAATATTAATAGCTGTCGATATAAAATTTCCTTCTAATAAAACAAGCATGCGATGCTCTCAGTTAATATTTTCTAGGTATACTATTATTAATAAATTCAGTATAATATACAATTGCAATATCGTTGTTAAAACCAACAATAAAATAATAAATATATTTATTGATCTCTAAAATAGTATCAATTTTAGATTTAAATAAATATTTTTATAAGCAAAAAATAATAGAATTTATTTATATGAAATTAGATAGTTTCATGTAAAGCAATAAAGATCCTCGAAATATCTAACGCGGTTTTAAAAATAAATAGAGGTTTCTATTTTTGTTTTTCATTTACATAATTTTTTATATATTTTTATAAAAATTGTTTTTTTCGTAAAAATGAAAATAATAATAATAATAATAATGAAAATAAAAAGAATTATAATTAATTCAAAATGTTATACATATACATGCAAAAAGATAAAGACAGTATAAAGACAACGAGAAATTAAAAGACCGATATATATATAATTACAATACAAGCTTTATCTATTACATTACATTGATTATAAAGTTAAAATGCCTATCAATCAGTCAGTCTAAGGCCCAGTTCCACAATTCACGGTTAACTCTTAACCGAGGTTCAACTTGTTTCTCATCTCTTTTCGATTCTAGAATTTGGAAAGAGACAATGAATAAGGACTACTGCAGATAAAATTCCGTAATGTAAGGCGTAAACTTAAGGCGTTAAAATAACGATAAAAGGACAACAAAATGACGTAGCTTGCTATCAAGGGAGTTAATTAGGATATTGGATATTTAGATCTACGTAATCTAATACGGGGTTTACAATAGAAGTCGTAGCGGTCGTAGGGTCTTAAGTCGTAGAAAATTGACAGTTAATTATTCTTCTCATATTCGACTGTAATTGATCAATTTTTACGACTTCTATTGTAGACCCCGCATAATGGAAATAGAAATAGCAGTAAACTTATGTGTAAGGGGCTGCGCAAAATAAAAGGAACAGGGAACAGAGAATAAGAATTTCAAGCTATCGTGTATTGTGGAATATACAAGGTTTGTTCGCGTCGCATGCTCCAACATGTTCCAAAATGCTCCTACCATAGAACTATGCTCTTACTCACTCCAACGCGCTTGATAGAGTGAGTAGGAGCTATGATAGTAGCATGTTAGAGCATATTGGAGCTTGCGACGCGAACAAACTTACAGTTTCTGATAGATTGAAATTCTTATTCTCTATTCTTTGTTCCCTGTTCCTTTTATTCTGCGCAGCCCCTAAGACAAGTTTCACCCGGTTGAAATTTGCCTTATGGATAAGTTTACCAGATTACGTAGATCTAAAGCAGTATCTTGATTAGCTCATCGGTTTAAGTTTTCGCCTTACGCTTACTGTTATGTAATTTTATCTGCGGGTGCCCTAAATGCCGACTAGACTACATGTGGGATAGCAGAAGATGAACGGAAACCGAGCTAAAATTAGACGAAATAGCAGATTCTTTAGTGTGAAGAGCCTTCTTCGAAGGATTACCTGCTGGGTAGAAGCGCTGATTGGCTAACCCTGACCCTACCATTTTCCATGACAAGGAAAACGTGGAAAATCCTTTTCCTTCTCTCCTTATACATATTTTAGTATTCTTTGTGCTGTCATTAAACTACGTTACAGTTTTGAATACTAAACAGCCAAACCAATCTGGGGAGAATTCAGTGTTCGGTCGTAAATTTTTATATAGATCTGTAATACATAATTTAATTTACTATACAATAATCGTTATACATAACATAATTCATTTTTCATTTTTAAGTCACACTTAAGTTACGATCGTTTGATTGTTAAAGTGAGTACGTGTTTACAATGAACACCAGAATCATAGAAAAAAAGGAGCAATGCATCATTCTCAAGTTCCTAATTAAATTAGGAAAAAGTCGAGATAAATGCTGTAACTTGTTGAAGAAAGTATATCAGAAAGGCTGTATGACCCGTAACAGCATACATGCGTATTTTGATGAAGTAAATAGAATCTCGATACGATCCTCCAATAAAATAAAAAAAATTGAGATGAAAAAGGATGAGGTGTGTTTCAGAAAAAAAATACTAGGAAAAAAAATGAACAGTTTAATCGGAAGTGGTTTTTCATTTTATGTTTGGTTCTCTCAATTTATTAGCTGTATTCCATTTTCTCATATGACTCATTTCAATTCGTATTTCGCAATTTTTTCCATCTACTTGTTATAATCGCAAGCATGTAAGTAGTCAAGCAATAAAGAGTTTTGAGCAAAGGATTTCAGCAGAGTTCCCTCCATCATTTTACAAATGTTTTGTTCAAATTGTACATTTTTGATAATATTTGTGTGTATTTGATATTGCATATAATCTTTTTTTTCTCTTCGTTTTTCTTCTTTTTTCTCATTGTGTTTGGATTTTATTTTGAAAATCGTCTGTTATATTAGTGTTTATTTAGCACGTTTACCGTACGGTACAGGAATTTTTTAATAAATAAATTAAATCAATACATTAATTTTATTAATATTAAATTAGTATAATAATTGAAATATTAGTAATATTTTACTAAATTAATTTTATAATTCATTAATAAATTAATTAAAATTAATTTTAAACTAATTTTCAGATGGAGATGAATAACAACATAGGAAATACATCATCTACTCCTCCCGTGAGTATCACATACTCACCTCCTAACAGGGAGAGATCCAGTTCGGTGATTGATTCTATCGGCTTTTAAAGGTACTTAGAGGTTATTGAATCTTCGACTGTCCGACGCCGGAGCAAATCTGTATCTTCAACAGATTACTGTGTATGTAGACCTGTGGTTACAAGGCTCTCGTACTGACTGAATTCAAATTATACGTAAGCGTCTCAAATTAAGACTAGTGTTTTTATCAGGGCTAAGTACACACAGAGCGTATAGTAGTATTTGATTAAATTTAAATCATTTTTTATTTAGATAATAATTTGAATAATGCTTTAAATTAAGAAGCGCCATAACGGTCAGAACGTTAAGATGTTGAACTATTGTAAATTCATTTAAATGAATTAATTTCAGAAATGATAATTGCGTGCCGATATGGCTACTAGTTGGGAAATTTACTTAGTTGGGAAATTTAACTTAGTTGGGAAATTTGGGGGGATTATTAATATTTTCAGATTTGATTGCGTTGAAAGTCCGACAACCATATCGGCACGCAATTATCATTTCTGAAATTAATTCATTTAAATGAATTTACAATAGTTCAACATCTTAACGTTCTGACCGTTATGGCGCTTCTTAATTTAAAGCATTATGTTTAACATTAGCGGTCTTTCAATCTTATTATAATTTGAATAATGTTCTCGTTACATGATAACTATTTTTCCAAATAAAAAGTATTTGTACAAATAACAATCAGAATAATATATAATACCAAACTATTTATCAAGGATACATTTTATCTGAGTAACAAATTAAATAATAACTTGTCTAATTGTTTATTTCTAATAAATATACGATAAAAGAATTATACTGTTATAAAAAATATATAGAAAGAAGAATTATATAGTTATATAAAAAAAAATTTCCGAATGCATATTATAGTACATTTAAATTATTTTTATTACATTTCGAACGCGAAATTGGAATTAATTTTTCTCAACCAAAAGATATTTTTTTCAACCAAAGATATTTTAAATTTATTTTATAATTAATATGATAAAATTATATAAATTGCAGGATATAAATCTTTTGTAATGTAAACCGTTTGTTTTCTTAGATACTATCAGATTTTCATTGTACGGATAATTTATGTATGCCGGGAACATCCCGAGATGACCATCCAATAAGAACAACGAACAATGAGCGAGAAGATGAACAATCCAACGAGATGAAGAAACTAGATACAATCGACGCTGTCGGCACGTACGTTATATAAAGAAATGAATGATAAAGAAAGGTCTTATTAACTTTATAGAGAGAGACATCATAATTCTGAAACTAAACAATTCGATAAATTTTTGTGATAATATTAAATCGAAAAGTAATTAAATAAAGCGTAAACTTAATAAAAATATTACCATTAAAATAATATTAATTTGGAATTGAATAAACTCTCAGTTAAACGTATGAATATACATAAATATTCATTTCTTTAAAGTTATTATTAAAAAACGTTAAATACTCACAGCTGTACGTTTAATTTCACTGATATTACAATCGTTTTCCGATCACCACAAATATTTCCAGTTGCGTTTCATTTATCAAAATATATTTTTTTCACCATGGATTAGATCTTATATTAAAATTTAGACATCGTTAGCATTTAATTATACTTTTTTTCCGTTTAATTTTTTTTTTCAGCATCGCTAAAAAGCCAGACACCACTCCAAAACTTACAGCATTAATGCCAGTTGAAAAGGATGCAGCATGTTATAACATGAATCACAAAAATCGTGGTAAATGCATAATTTTCAATCACGAAGATTTCTCTATATCACTACTAGAGAAACGAGAGGGTTCTGCAAAGGATGCAGCAAGACTGCAAAAAACTTTTGGAAACCTCGGATTTGACGTTGAACTTCACGATGACTTTACGTTCTCCAAAATACAAGACGTGCTAACGAGAGGTAAAAATATTTATCAATTTATTTTATATTCGTCTTTTTTCAAGTCTTGACTGTGTACTTTACTTAGCGCAAAACTCTAGCATCGCGTAACATGAATTAACAGTTTTGTTAAAGTATTTTAAAAATTAGTTAAATAGATATAAATTTTTGAAAATAATTTTGTTTGGAATAATTGTTAACGTGGCTCAATTAGAATAAATCAATAAATAAAAGAAGGGCAACGCGAGCCAATTATACTGTGAGATATTTAATAATCGTATATATACAAACGTTTCGACACCGATCGGGTCATTTTCAATGTAAAACAACAAACAATCTTACATAAATTATCGGAAAATTCAGTTAAATTATAATGTCCAGTAAAAAGTTCGGTTGTATTCATAATATGCGGTCCATATGTAAAAATATCAAAGGAGATCTCATCTCACTTTTCACAATTCTACAATCTTAAATTGTCTTAATGATGTAAGTTAGACGCCGAGAGGAAAACGCAATTAATAAAGTTATATTTAATAAAAAGTAAGCCATAATACAATTGGATATAACATTTATACTCGATGATGTCAAGCGACGTCATTGTTTATGTATCTATTTATATTTAAAATAAATTATAATTTGCACCTGTTTATACAGTGTTGACTCATATAGGTTTTATATACATATTTATAGATTAATTCATTTGAGTTTGTATTAAAAGCTTTTTAATATTAAATTTAAATAGTTTTCGAAATAATATTTCTGTATTAAAAACTTTTTAATATTAAATTTAAATAGTTTTTGAAATAATTAATACTGAAAAATTTGATGGCTCTTCTCATTTCTGCATTCACCAACTCAATTACGTAGGACTTTTACAACATTGTCATCAACACTTAAGCGTATTTTTTACATAATTATTTTGATAATCTAATAAAATTATTGTCACATTCGTATTTAGTTAAATTTTTAGATACTTTAGTAAAACTATTCTTTCTATGTATGTGTATTTATTCAATTCAATGTTCGCGCAATTGTACTTACATGTAACAGTGAGTCAGCTCGACCATACGGATAATGACTGCCTCTGTGTCATTACATTAACCCATGGCCTGAAGAAGGACATAATAAGCGCGCACGATGTTATGTATGAATCCAACGAGCTTTGGAAGCCTTTTGTTGCCAACAAATGTTTGACGCTTGCGGGCAAACCTAAGCTGTTCTTTATCCAAGTAAACCAACTAAAACTAATGTTTTCGAGTCTTGTTCTATTTTTAAATTATCGACGTATTCCGATATGTTACCGCTTTGTTTTCATTTTGTCCTGCTTGTCTAGCTCGTCTATATAACTTTTTGTTTAGGCTTGTAGAGGCGATGAATCCGATGACGGTGTTCAACTGGTAGGCACTCGCTCTTTAAGAGGAACGGAAACTGATTCCGGTCCTACTTATTCTATTCCGACTCACGCGGATTTTCTGTTAGCTCACAGCTCAATTGAAGGTAAATATCTATCAATTAATTACTTTAATATTTCCTGTATTAAAGAAACTATTACAATTCTTATTTTTTAATGCCATTATTTGATAAAAGTATATTACAATTGAACTGAAAAGGACTAAGGGTTAATACGCAGCTAATTTTTTTTTTTAACAAAATATTATAAAAATTGGATTATTTCTTTTCAAGATTTTAAACGCGATATACAAAAAACTCATAATATGTACAATAAATTCAATTAGATATAAAAATCTTAGCACATTCTTAATAACTAACTATGAAATGAATTATTTTAATCACATTATATATACATATGAAGGAATAAAAAGTGGTGTAAATCATTTTTTAAACCTATTGAGCGTTTTACATGATTTAAAATCAAATATAGTGAAGTTCCGCTGTATTTAAAAAAATGATTTGTATTATATCGATTTTGGCATTTACTTAAGACATAAAATTTATTATTATTCTTTTATGGTAATTCAATCTATTAGATAAGTCTGGATTTGTGATATCTGATCAGTTTTTCTGGAAAATAAATAATCTTTTAGTATAGCTAAAAAGAGTTATTAAAAATAATATAACAAAAGAGGGGATATTATTGATAAATCAATAATATAAATAAATTAATATAAATAAATATGTTTAATGTAATTCTCTGTTATTTCAAGGTTTTTATACCTGGAGGAATCCCTTTGAAGGAACATGGTATATACAGTGTTTATGCGACATCTTAGATGAATATGGAACAACAATGGATTTGATGAGTATGTTGACTTTAACAGCGCGAAAGGTTGCCACAGAATATTCCTCCGTCAATCCCGAGTATAGAACTTTACATGACAAGAGGCAGGTGCCGTCAGTGACAACGATGCTGATCAGATCTGTTTATTTTCCACCAAAATCGAAGGAATAATTTCGCATTAAAAATTGCAAGAAAGATTTCTGAAAGGACAGAAAATAATTGAAAGGTTGGACAATTGTAAATGAATATAGCATTTCTTAGGCTAGGTTGTTCCATCTTTCGGCTCACTATCTTATCCTCTTACTCTCGTATGCTCTTACTTTTTTACTCTTTTGTTTATCCAGTAGGTAAATTACCATATAGTTTATCCGAGGATAGAATAACTGCTCCTTAATTACTAAATAATTAAGTAACAGTAATTATTCTAGATAAAACAATAAAATAAAAAAGTCTAGATACAATGTTCGCAAAAAAATTAGAAAAGTGAAATATCTTTTGAAAGACTGAAGATAAGAACGCGTTTCTATTCTTGCTTTGAAGATATATATACCTTTATTTTAAATATCGGGAAGGTATTCTGATGCAAAAATTAGAATTAAAAACTATAATGTTTTTTAGAATAGAACTATTTACATTCACAGATTTCTAAAAATCTGTTTATATCTGTCTTATACATTACTTCTGTATGGGCGTACTCAAAATTTTAATCGAGAGAGGGGCAGCAATTTATTCACACAAAACTATTATTATTGAAATATTTATTTCGAGGATCTTCTGAGAACTTCCTTATGAATAATGCGTGAGTGACGAAGCAATTGAGCAATGAGTGTAGAACTTTTTATTGTAAAAATGATTTTCAAAACTGTTTCTTCTCGTCAGAATGTAGAGGGATAAGTGCTCCTCCTTCCCACCTCCTTGCGTACGCCCATGGGTTATTTCATGATCATTGTTTTTATTTTAAATGCAAAATGCGCGCACTATTTTCATTTTATATATATATTAAACTTATTATCTTATATATTTCTTAGTATATAAGTTTAATAATACAAAATAATTAATAAAAAGTTTTATATTATAATCTAATTCTATATAAGTTCGACCTATTATTGTAATTCCTTCAGAATATTGTTTTCATTTTCTACATATATGAAAGTATTATTTTTATGTTAGATATACATAACTGTATGTAGTATATATACATATACATATATCTATATACATGTATATATATCATACTATATGTATATAATAATAATAAAATAAACTGTTTGTATATTATAATAGTTACAAGTTTACTACAAATTGACAAATTAAAAAAAAATTGTAACCTAGTAACCTAATTTTTTACAATACTTTACAAATAAGTCTTTATGCTTTAATAAATAGATAATAACTAAGTTTCTATCGTTTATATCATTGACGCTTATATTTAGCAAACGATGTAATCATTGTACGATTAACTATATTCAGAAGACAAAGTCGATCAGCGAGCACTTTTTTATTACGATTAGTTTGTAGCTTTAGATCCAACAAAGAACTAAAAGCAAGAACCAATTATATTAAAGAATCATTGAGCGGCTTTGTCTTCTGAATGCAATCATTATCGCTTATGTTGTAACACCTTTTGATCATCCGTCATAAGAGATCGTGAGACTTGAATACAAGAATACATTGGAATTATATATTCTTTTATAATTCGGGAGAGAGTATTTCCACAATCACGCGACTGATCTCTTTACGCGATTCTTTTTTTAATTAGGATTGAGAGAATGTTTAAGGGTTGCGAGTTTAAAAAAAATCTCATTTGTTGTCTCTGAAAACCTCTTTCAGCACTTCTCATTCTTTCTCGTAATTGTTTGCGTTTACACTGATCGTTGCAACATTTATCCAACCCTTCCTGTCACCGTTTTCTTCTTTTTCCTTTTTCGTGTCTTTCCCTTTCCTTCGTCTGACCAAATACCTGTCCCGTCAGGATGCCGTTCGACGCCCTCCGACATTTAATTAAACGTCGACCGCTTACGGTCGAAAACGATACAGCTTGTTCAACGCACGAAAACGATATTGTTCCCCATTCGTCGATCACGCGCCACCGCAACATCGTTAACGCGTTCGTCGTTGACATAAAACCGCTATCGTTATCTACGTAATTACCTCCCGTTCCCAGTGAAAGATGGGACGAGTTAAAAGAAATTTAACGTCGTTTCGTAGACTTCTAATTTATAAATTTTTAATTTTTGAAAGATTGGAGAGATTAATTTAACTCGTCAACGAATATGAGTAGATTCAAAATATCCTTCGCACGTTTGCACAAGTTCAGAAATATTTTCTGTCGATATTTTTCAATCTACCTGTTTTTTGCAAATTGAATTTCAGCTAAGACCAAGAAAGTTTTAGCTACATTATTGATGAAAGCACGTAGAAGTTGATATATCGACGTTGACGCCGCGACAAACGCACCAGTCGCACCCTATAGAGACAACCCCTTATCAAGCTGTGACCCGAGGAGCAGGGTCATGGTGCGTCTTCAAGGTGGCCTGGTAATTACATCAATTAGCTTTGCAAGAGCGCATTTAAGCACGATCAGATATTACCGAAGAAGCTTCGCATGAAGTAGGAATTAATTTTATCGTTATAGGCAATTGAAAATTAGTGCATAGCAGATACGATTTAATTAACTAGTTAGATGAAACGTCTGATTTTAATATGACTTTAAACATGACTTCCTTCAGCGTCTGCATAATTGCGTTACTGACGTAAAATCGCTATCGTTGCCTACGTTTATTTCTCGTTCTGAAAACCGAGAGAAATTGATCAAGATTGTAACGAAAACCTTGGAAAGGTCAGTCAGTATGTAACAATCCGGAAGCTAAATAGTTACACGAGGAAAAGGAAATGATAATTAGCATAGAATTAATATATTTCTCGAGATGGTGACTATTGGAGTAGTTGCTGAAGGAATGATGATTTTCAGAAGACTTTGCGATATGCTTTCGGAATCATGCGAGTCAGCGAGGAAGTTCTGTGTCAATTGGGATTTCAAATAAGCGGCGAAGACAACGGGATCATAGTTGAACCTCCAGAGGACTCTGGACCATGCATTCGGAAACTAGGAATGAAACAGGACGAGGGTGGCGACAAGCGGGGGCGAGGGTCGGTCGCAGAGGGAGCCTAAGGACCAGGAGTTTGCGCGAACAGATCAATACGGGGTCTGTCCCCCGCACATGAACATGTCTCTTACCCACTCTTTCTCACTCTCTCTTCCTCACTCTCTCTTACTGTTTTCATCTCGCGCCGCTCCTCTCTGCCTTTCTCTCTTTCTATTCTTTTTATGTATTTTTGTATTTTATTTGTTTTCCTCTCACGTGAATTGTCTCTGATGTGAGATTATATTTTAATTCTCGATTACTTCCATTCGCCGTACTCGCCATTCTTTTTATACCTTTTTACGTTTGCTTTAATTCTCTTTCTTTCTGTGACGTAATAATATCTGACGTAATAATAATAACTATGTGTAGGAAGGATCTTACGTACTTTAGGGTTTTTAAAATAAATTTCTTTGTATTTAAATTTATTTAGCTCTCTATATATTTAAGACTATCGATTCATCCACGTCTCTTCCTCCTCCTAATCTGCAATCCTTACAATCCTCCTTTCTGAGAGCTACTTCCTTTTACTCTAACCCACATTTCTTCGTGTCTTCTATTAATATTCTCGCTCGATTGAATATCTTGAAGACTCTGTCTGCCGTAAGCTCAACACATCCTATACGTTCTAAGTAGATATCCTTAGATTCATCGCTCGCGTTCGAATATATCTTTTCCTATCCTCGCCTACTGATGTAATTTCTTTTTCAAGCGTCTCTAAAATCCATCCAATCGCTGCTCGACTCTATGATACTCTGCGGCCTCGTAGCATTGACACTGTATCGTTTATCACATTGAAACATTGACCCGTTCCACGTGACTGTTTTTCTCTACTTTTACCAATTTTTCCTCCATCGCCTCTCGTCCTTATATCGCTTCTCTCCTTACATAGATCTCTCTCCTACTCTACTACGAGCTTATATTTCTCTCTTATCCGTCTCTTCCCCTCTATTACAGCTCCTAGTTGGATCAGTTCTTCCTCTCTTTCGCTCGCTCGCTCTTTATTCATATACACGGTGTGTGAGAATTATCATTATTATCTTCGATCACTTCCATAAGCTGAAATAGATGAAAATTTTAGGGTCCATTATATTCGTGTTATCGTTTCTTTGATACTCGATGTTAAATTAATTTTTCCATGAAATCTGTCAAAAATTTTGTCCATCCAAATAATTTGGTCCATGTATCCTACATGTTGAAGTCGATCGATAAAATGTCTTGGATTTTCAATTTTCAATATTTGCTTAAAGAAGGTTAATCGCTTCTTCAGACATCATGAGAAGCGAAAGAAGTTTTCCATATTTCCAACGTGTCCTCTCATCGCGGGATCACCCATTTTCCGGTTGCACCCTATACATTCGTATCTTGCGCGCGCGCGCGACCGGCGCTCCGTCCTTGTCCGTGACGCGCGCGCTACCCCCAGCAAGGTGGTGGCGGTCCAGCGTGTTAACCGTGCGGGATGCTGAATTCGTAGAAGAGATTCAGTCGTATTGCCTGGGCTCTCTCTGTCGCACGGCTAACGCCCGGACGGAGTGTGCGAGGCTGCATCCGCGTGCCGCAAGAGGAGCCGATTTCCTCCCTCGGCGAGAGCTTTTCGTCGCGGCGAAAAGGAAATCGAGGCACACACGGTGGGATGGGTACGTCCGCGTGAAAGGGATGCGCTACGTGATTTTGCAGGGGTAGCCGGTGGTAAGTAATACGACTCCGAATTTTCACTCCCCTCTCTTTCTGTCTTTCTCTCTTTTTCTCCTTCTCTCGTTTGCTCCACTCTTTACCCTGCCCGATGCTACGCCTAAACTTCAATCAGGCACGTACACCTGTACAATTCCTGAGAATCCGATTTTGGATCCTACACATATGGGACAAGATTGTGAACCGTACACTGTTCAGCTTTTATCCTTTTCTCTCCAAGGCTATATGTTCAGATTTCCACTTAAATGTCTTCCTGGTATCATTCGATCCTTAATATTCGGTGAACAGCAAGGATAAAATGATATCTGGATGACATTTGGGTGGAAATCTGAACATTAGTCAATGTGAAAAGAAAAAAAAGAAAGATGAACCATGCAAGAAGTTCAATTCTGAAGTATGTAAAAAGAATATAGGCTTTATATATCTCTTCCTACGAAAGATATGGATAATGGTAATAACGTTTCAAATAAAAATGTTAATTAAATTAGTAATATTGTAAGCAAACTAAAAACACGTGCTTTTTTATATCTTTTCCAATGATTTTCGAGCTATCAATGTTAACAACTCCTTTTTATCGTAATTCTCCATTTACTTAAAATTGGGCGTAGACGGTTTCAAATAGTTATACAAACTCAAGAAGCCAATTCATTCGCTTTCTCTTTATATGATCATTGCATTAAAAATAAAAGGAATGAATTCTTTAATCTGACACTTTGTCCATTATATTGTTCTTACTCCCTGAATTCTTTGGAACGGAATCTTACTCTAAAGAGTGAAAATTGAGTCAGTCTTGAAAAAGAGTAGCTCACTTTTCAATCTTTGAGAGTAAGATTTCACTCTTCGGAATGAGAGACATTTGCTCTAAAAGTTTCAAAGATCAGGGGAATGTTTTCTAAACTATCACTACTGTTAAATCTGCAGGAATACAACACATACCATTATGAAGAAAGTTCGACGCTATCACTCACGTTATTGCACATTGTATTATTCAGAGAGATCGTTTGAAATAAAGATTTGAAATAGAAATAAAACTGCAATTAGATGTCTTCCTCTTTTACGTTTATCTCGGAGAATAGAATCGAAGAATAAAGCACGGATCGATTCGCGGCTACTTGGCGTTTGCGATGGTAAGTCGTTGACTAGCACGGAAAGTTGGCAACGAACGGCCCGGTTTTCGTGTTCAAAGATAAACCGTGTGCGCTGATTTTACTCGCGTCGAGAGCGAGCCAAGTGCACTTCGGCTTAGACGAATCATTGTTTCTCTCTGGTTCTCACTAGTTTTTACGAAGCTTGACGGAATATTGCTAGCGATTTACGAGCGATCTATCTCTTGAACCTGGTATAACGTACTTGTTTCTAACGTAGCTTCTTTTTTTATTTTCGCTAAAACTTCGCTTCTAATTTTATAACGCACATATTGTCAACAGCAGTTTTACATTGAATTTTTGTTTAGTTCAATGATCATATTATGCCATCGCATTACGTTACATGCTTTTGTATTCAATGTTTTTGCATTTGTCGAATAACAATTAACGCCATTAGCGTTCCATGAAAATGAGCTTAAATAAATTTTGTATGTCTAATTTCGAAAGCTAAAGAGAGGAATTTAACATTAATTTGAAACTTGAAGCTATCAATGTATATTTGAAAGGTATATGATGCCTTGTCAATTGTTAACAAGTACGATAAAATTAGGTGATTGTAAAAATTTGATCGAATTTTCAATCATCGTCTCTACTTTCATTAAATCGAAATAACATAATTAAAGATATTTATGTTTCTTGTATTATTTGAGAGATGAAACCGCAGCTGTCATTTGAATACCGAAATATTTTGCTCTGACGGATATATTAAAGCTGAAATAATACTTGAAGACGATGGTGAATATTTAAAGACAAGCTACACTTATGACATGGTATATTATTTATCATAGTTCGCGCATCTTAACGCTTTAAAAAGCAATGTCGTTTTATGTGTGTGTATAATAAATCTTTAGTAGTAAATCAGTCATAAAAGTTCTATTAGAAATTAACAGGAAATTATTAAAAAGAGAAAAGAACAGAGAGATTATCTATAACTAATAATTAATAATCTATAATTAATAATTGTCTACTTAACAAAATTATAGTCAGCGTTAAAAAAGATTCAAAGTCACATCTTTGTGACGTATTATTATGTTAGAAAATTATCCACTATTAAGTTCATACCTATATTAATTCCAATATAACCAATTCTTGTAAATTTTAAGGCTAATTGGAAAATTCTTTTAATTGTGACAGAAGAATTTGAATTTAATGGCGAATAATTCTCTCAGTACAATAATATCATTTCCTCGTAAAGAAATTTCTCCGAAAAAGATCTCGAGAAAAATGAGTTTTGAAATATTTGAAAACTCATTCGAGATTTTAAACTTTAAAATGCTTTAAAAAACTTTAAAAAACTAAACATTTCTCCGAAACCATTTTTCCAATTAAAAATATATGACTTAGAATTTGGTCCTTTTTACGCTGATTTTAAGTGATGTTTTAATTTTGTTGAAAAATTATCTGTAATTGAGTAAATTATTACAAATTTTTCGAACTCTAATATAACAGCAAATCGAATTTCTACACTTAATATAAACAATAATAATTTTTTGTTCGCTATTTTTAAACATCTATCGTGGCAGAATCGATATATGATAGTTCACGTATTTCATTTCAGTTTCGTTTATATTTCCACCCCGTTACCTCGACTTTTATAACCGGCCGTGATGTTCTCAATTGGGAATATCCCGTTGAAAAATTCTTCCACGATTGTTCAGCCTTGAAAGACGCTTTTGCATAAAATTATCGTCGGTCGCCTCTCACATCTTTTTCTTCTCTTTCCCTCACCCTTTTGAAGGCTGCTTACCCTTCATCACGACCAAGCATGTATTAGCTTGTTCTTCTATTTTTGCGTCGGTGAGATAATGAGATCATAGGCGTGAGCACATTATCGACAAAAGATTACTTCCTATCACGAAGAAGTAAATTTACTCGCCATCGACATCGCGTTTTTAAAGCGAGATAACTGCATTTGTCGGATATTAAATAAAAAAATTAAAATTCAATCTGGCGTTAATCGTTCTTATCGAAACACTTAATCCAAAGCCATTTTTGTTAAGTTTTCATGCTCAGCATTAAATGTTTTTATAACTCAACCGTTTGAATGAACAGCGCAATCGCACTACTCACTTTCATGTATCAACGAGTTCAGCAGCATAAATGTAATGATAATACGCTTCTACCACAATTCTCGATAATAGAAATGTTTTCTTTCAATTTTTCGAAAATAAATTAAAAAGTGTAAGTTTTTGATATGAAGAACAGGAAAAAGACGAACGCGCTGATTGGCATTTTTCGCATAAATTTTTACGATCACCTTCGGCAATTCAAACTATTAAATCTGAAACTTACATCAATTTATTAAATACACGTAACCGCAAATAAAAAACAAACAACTTTTTCGTAACTCACTTTTATCTTCGAAGCTTAATTTGCAAATAACTTTTTATTTTAGATTATTTATAACGCGTAAGAATAATTATATATATATATACAACGGTATATTTTTATTACATAAAGTATTAATTCTAAATTGAGAAAAATATTCCCTTGAATTCAAGATCTCCCTTTGCTTTTTTTTTCATTAAAATTTTTTTATTAAATTAATTTCCCCCGTCAGATTATCATTTTGGAATGGAAATGTTGCAATCAGGCATATTTATCGATTATTGAAGTTTAAGTATATAACCGCGGTATGTGTCTCTTTATAGCATGGATGTTAAATAGATCATCAATTGACGCGGTTGTATTCTAAAACTGTCCACGTGCAAGCGCGTAACGTAAAAGCGCACTTTAAAGGCGCGTTTTAAAAGAGACGTGCCGATAGTTTCCCAACTGCGAGAAACAAACGTACCTCTCATTCTCCCGTATATGCGGTCATGAAAAAACTTTAATAATTTAATCTCTAAACGGTTTTTATATGCACTAGAATTGTAAAAGCATCCGACGTGCGCGTTCCTATTTAATTCGGTTCGAACGGTTTGCGACAATATTGTCTGAATTTTGCGCAAAAATTTCGCATCGGAGAGAGACGTCTCCCGATATCTCACATAAAGGCTGACATCGATCTTTCGACATTTCATACTTTCGTTCGTGGATTACTACGTTAGAGATAGCACCCTGTAAATATCGTGAACGATCTATCTCTTTCTCTCGCTTTTTGCTCCTTTCTTTCCTTCTCGTTACTCATTGAGCGGGTTTGTTTCCGCGTGCGTTTGTACGTATATGTGCGTGCGTGTACACGCTAATCCGTCATGTGTGCGTGCACTTGAGTTTCTATTCGTCAACGGCGGCACGTTTCTGCTTCTCGCCCTTCTTGGTCCAGAGAACACCGTCTCGCGCAAGTTAATAATGCAGGACCGTTACGGAATTCGACTGAACTTTATACGTGACTCGGTGCACCGCGTTCGCCCGGGTACACGACCCATCCTGTCTGATATCTGGGGCACACTTGAATTTTAAACCGCGTTATACTATTGCCGTCGCGCTCGATTAGCTTTTTCACGAGAGAGCGACGGGCTGCCTCGGCGCAGACTCCCACGAAACGTGCTCAATAGTAAATGTCAACCTGTATGTCATCGGTCACGGAATTATCGTGCACGGTTAAAAGAGCTCTCGATATCGAGGAAAAGAGTAGCTCAGCATCATACAATCTTTCTTTCGTAAAAAGAATTTATATTAATCATTCTGTAACATTTGTCCTTAAAGAATAGATTGCTGCATTCCCAAGTAGCAGAGCGGCATTAAAAGACAATATATTATATATAGTCATGTTTAGAGCATGTTTAGAAAGTAGACGTCATTATGTCGTATTTTGATGTTGCTCCACTACTTAGATTAATAGAGATAAAGCAATCTCAAGGGACGACGTAACATCTATTTTAATCTATTAGATGCTATTATGTTGTCTTTCAATGTTACTCTGCTACTTGGGAATGTAATAAATTTAATCAATTATATATATATATAAATATACGTATAAAACATATCTTAAAATAATAATAAAATAACAATAAGGTGCGTAACGCATCTTAAAATTAGCAACTTTTCTCAGAAGAGAATCTTTAAAATCCTAAATTAAACAACGTTTTAATTATACTATATTTGTGCACACACACACACAGTTAATATAAGTACACGTTTTAATTCAAAATTTTAGAAACGCTAAAGTTGCTAATTTCAACGTATTGCTTTTCTATCAAAGCGGCGATATATGAAAACAATTAGAGTATATTTGCTTATTTATATGCATTTAAATCGTTTCTGCGTTAAATCGTACTTCTTTTTGACGATTTTAAAACTCCTTTTGATGCAATTAAAACAGTCTGCTAACGCAATGTAATATCTATGAAATAAATTTAATATATTTCGTAAATTAATATTTCCGATAATATTAATAATTTCTTCTTTCGGAACATATTGCCTTTCCAACGCGAGTTCATGGTGGACATCAATTTTTAAATATTAAAAGCCAGGAGCTTCTTGTATTGACTAGCGAGTGGAGACATATCTACGCGGACTTATTTGTACGGCAATGTTAATTAAGGAGATGGAATAATTAACGCGGTATTGATCGCGAGAGAGCGGCTTTACATCCGATTAATCCATGCGTATCTATACCTCCATGTCTCTCCGTTGCCGATCACAGATGTAATGATCCTGTTATTAGATTTGTTAAATGTATTTATTATTAGACTTATTAAAAATTCATACAATGTTAAAGAAAGTGATGTACAATAATAAAATATTTAATTGTATGCGGATATTTCACAATATAATACATATTATATTACAATAGACATACATCTTATATGACAAATACATAATAACGTACATCCGGTTAACCATTACACTGCTGTTATGGCTTTATATAGCTTTATGTTGTAACCAGTGACAAGAAACATCTTGAATGCTTTCTTTATAAAATTGTTCATATAAAGCTATTATAAAAGAAATAAAAGAATCTACAGTCAACCCAAGTAAAACAAAAAAGTTCATTATAGCATCAAAGTAACGTCAAAATGACTCTAAAATGATCACTAAAAGTCACTTTTCAATTATTTATAATTCAATCATTTACTATTTAACGTCATTTTGACGTTACCGTGACTTATTCTACTTGGAAAACGAATTTCGTTAAGGAAGACAGAGAGAAAACAACAAAAATAGACGTTTTACTCATCATGAATGACTGAGACAATACAAGTACTTTGCGACTCTTTGTAGACGATGCTAGCTATTACGTTACTTTTACTATCAATCATTCAGTTGCAGAGCTTACACATCCGGAAGCGGACGAGAGTACGGTGCGAAGAGGAGAATGGGAGTGTACGTGACAGGCGTAATCGGCGTGATCGTGTTCTACGTCGCGGTGCTGGCCGTTGGCGTATGGGCCGCCGCGTTCAAGAGGAGGCAAGTCGCGCAGGGCCACTTCCAGGCTGACATGATGCTGGCAAACCGACGTCTCGGCCCGTTGCTCGGTGTCTTCACCCTTATCGGTAATTGTCCTCGAATACCTCAATCACGTAAAAGGAAAGAAATAAATTTTGCATTACCGTTTTGTTACCGTTACGCGTTCAATGTAAATTTCGCTTTGGCGAAACCTGCAATGTGTCGGTAGAATTTTCCTAACTAAACTTTTTCATGGAAAAATCTAAGAATTTAATCCAAAAGCTCAACTTTACCTGAGAGCTGAATAGAAATTCATGATGACATTATAAGACAGTTCTAAAATGATTATTAAAAGCTACTTGTAGATCAGTCACGAGTCATTTTAAAATGTCATTTTATGTCATTTATTCTGACATGTTGTTCTGCTGGGGTTGACCCCTTAATTCGTCCACGTAATAATTGAAACAAAATTTATTACAAGGGCACTTTGAGTCCAAGTCTATTTATCGTGCCATGCGTGACCCTGATTAGAATCAACTATTATATAAATTTCCTGTTTTGAAACACTTTGAAAAGTCGATGAGGTCAAGGATCAATTTATGTGATATCGGAATCTGTGGATATTATTAGAGAAAAATTGCGCCTGCAAGCTCTCCCAAGGAACATGCCAAGTCAAGAAAAAATCAAACTAATGATTTTTATTACAAAATTTGACTGTTTATTGATTTTAAGCATCAAAATAAAATCATTTTGATTTTTTGTTGACTTTTGTGTTCCTTCGTCTATTCATGAGTCCCTTCATGATCGATTCGAAGAGTTTGTTGATTGGATGGTATTATTTCTTACATTTTCTTAATTCTCGACATTTAATACGTTGTAATCTTTTTATAGCAGTTTAAAAAAAGGTATAGAAATACGCGAATTAATTTTTCTAATTTCGAGAATTAAGAATCTATATACTTCAAAAAATTGTCGCCAACAAATATCAGCCTCTGCAGGCATTGAACTCACTTATGGAACTAATAATCTACCATGAGTTGCTGCGTCTAAAACGCCTCTTTTCTAGACTTGTTATATTTTCCGTCAGACTTTACAAAATTATCTCGTAAAAAGGTGTATACGCCTCGATTTTATTTTCTCCAATATCGACACACGTCAACCGCTTTGTACTGTATAAGGAGTGACGTCGTAAAAGGAAGTGTAGGTTGCATCTTCACGTCGGCGTCAGTTGTCTTATTTAAAATTCCTTCTCGCCTTCTCTCTCTCTCGCGGATATATTTCTGACTTTGCTATTTTTAATCTAGCTCCAATTTTCAAGGCAAAGGAGATTTTGTGTGTTTGTGAAATGGATTATGTCGTTTTCTTTTAATCCATTTTATTTTTACAAGCTACCTATGTATTTTGCTTTCATTCAATCGTGTCAAATTTTCTCATTTTTCCCCTATACTGCATGTTCTGAATATCTCTTTGCATTCTCCATTACCGTAATGACCACACCGAGATATGCATCTGTAAAAAAACGTGATGTCAAAGTACATCCTCTTCCAGCTACTCCGTCCCTCTCTCAACGATTCGTTTATCTTTCCCATTTCCTTCCCATTTCTTTCTTCGTACAAACTGGACAACGAGATAGGAATAATTTACCATGCATTTGTTTCGCTATTTATACGCGTGTAACTTGACGCAAAAAAATTCGCTGACATGACGTATTTTATCTTGGTGTAACAAATCTCGACAGTTGTAATATATGAGAATGAAGAACTTTAATGTAACATATAGAGGAAAAAAGTGGGTTATCATTTTGTTTTATTGAAGCAATTTAATAGATATTCACTTGTAAAACTGAAATGCAAATTTTACAACAACAATAAATTATTAATAACCAGTAGTTATATTATAACGTCTAAGCAGACTGTGAAGAAGTGATCATCTTCAAAATTCAAAGCAAACTTAAGATATTATGAGATTCTACAACCCTTTAACTCTTTTCTAACCGTTTTCTTTCCTTTGTTCTTAATATCGATAAAAATTTTCCTAAGAGTATTATCTTAAGTTAATTACTGAAGGGATACGAATACTTTTGCGATTACTTTTATGATTACTTTTATTCATTATATATATGTGCAGCGACATGGGTTGGAGGAGCTTTCGTTAATGGAACCGCCGAGGCCATGTTTACGAGAGGTCTAGCTTGGTGTCAAGTACCCATCGGATACAGCCTTAGCCTGATTTTCGGTACGTCACACATGGAAATATTTAATATACTTATTTAGAAAATATTGCGATTAATGATTGCAAAAATAAATCTGGTTCCCAAGGAACACATAAAATCAACAAAAAATCAAAATGACTTTATTTTAATTCTTAACATCAATAGCTTTTTGTAACAAATTTTGCAACAAAAAATCATCATTTGACTTTCTCTTGACTTGGTGTGTTCCTTGAGTTAATTCTTGAGTATATATAACGAAATCGCAAACAAATCGAAACTAATAACTCACTTTAATTGTTCATATCTTCTATACCATTGATTTTCATGCAAATTAATGTCGCATCCAACAATAAATTTATATTGTAGGCGCCATGCTTTTCGTACGTCCGATGAGGAAGGCCGAGTATGTGACGATGCTGGATCCTTTTCAAGAACGGTACGGCGCGGGCATCGGAGGCTTGCTCTTCCTTCCGGCGCTGTGTGGTGATCTATTTTGGTGCGGCGCCGTCCTAAGAGCCCTAGGAAGCTCGCTCGCCGTCGTCGCAGGCGTTGATCCGAACATCAGTGTTTGTGCGTCCGCACTCTTAGCGGCCATGTAAGGATAACGGAAACAGTCACGCTCGATACGCTCGATATACAAGGGCGGTTTCTAAAGTTTTAGGAATTGTATGTACAAGTGAATTGAAATTGAAAACATACATTGTAGTTTTTCATTATAGTTCCCATTTAACTTGTGTGTGAACACACTTTATCTCAACTCGGAACCATTTTTCTCTCTAGGCCTTCTTCAACAAACTTTTGAGGAGTATCTTTTATCCATCGGTTTATAGCTCGCGCGATTCTTAGAACTTTGGAAACATATATCCTTTGTACATAACTTGAGACACGAGCAAGGTAAGAAATACGAAATGTACTTTCAGATACACAGTCTTCGGCGGATTGTATTCCGTGGCGTGCACCGACGCCCTGCAACTGCTGTGCATTCTGCTGGGTTTAGTGATAGCCGCCCCATTCTCCATGGTACATCCTGCGGTATCATTTGAGCATCATCTGACCCCGAGGGATTGGCTGGGACATGTGAAGAGTGAGGATATGGGCGAATGGGTGGACGGTATGCTGTTGTTGGTGTTCGGTGGTATACCTTGGCAGGTAATTTGATCCTTCAGATGGATGACAATAAAATTCAAGTCGAACATCTGCCAGATTATTTATTTGACAAATTCGAAACAGAACGAACTGCACCTTAAAATCTAATAATGCTATTATAAAAAAGAACGTGCCGTTTTAAGAAAATTACTAAAGAATTAATTTTATTTATTTGTTTTATTTATTTGTTGTAGAGTAATAATTTAATATTGCATCAAGTTTAATATCATTAATTTTTTAAACAATTTTCTTTTTTAGGGTTATTTTCAACGAATCCTAAGTATTAAGAGTACTTCTGTTGCAACGACTCTATCAATTGCCTCGATGTTCGGTTGCTTGATACTCGCAGTACCATCAGCTTTAATTGGCGTAGTTGCTCGTGCCACCGATTGGTCCTCGGTACCAGGCTATAATAGAACGTTCAGTACGGAGGACGGAAACGCCGCGATGCCGATGGTCCTGCGATATCTCACGCCTCAATGGGTATCTTTTGTTGGTAGGTTTTCATATATCCTAAAATTACTTCTCTGGTTATAAGAGGATTGTTCGAGTCTATTTTTTACAATTGTATCAATCTCCTAAAGGTCTCGGTGCGATCTCGGCGGCAGTAATGTCCTCGGCAGACTCCAGTATACTAGCTAGTAGCTCTATGTTTACCAGGAATGTTTACAAACTCACGATACGACCAAAAGTAAGCGTAACTTATACCAATTAATCGATGGCACCAACAAACATCATTGAAGCCTCTCTTTCGTTACAGGCGTCCGAACGTGAGCTAAATTGGGTTTTAAGAATTGCCGTAATTGCGGTTTCCATACTGTCTACTCTCGTCGCTCTCACGGTCAGCAGTGTCTACTACCTTTCGTAAGTAAACATATTTTTCTTTATTTTCTTACAACAGACGTGTACAACAGACTACTCGCGTCTAAGTCCCGACAATTATTGCAATGGGATTAAAAAAGAATTTTCTTTAAGCCGCAATAATAATTGATAGAAAACATGAGCTCCTTCTCAGTCAACGACTTTACTTTTTTCTTAATATCAAGATCTTTCTATTTTTATCTAAAGTCTTTTTACATTTTTTCACGTTTTCTATTCACGAAATTAATTAACTTATCATTTATTGAATATATTTAATTATTACAACGATTAATGTATAAAAATATGTCGCATTTTTGTTCGAAGGTACTTGTGTTCCGATCTCGTCTACGTCGTTCTGTTCCCGCAACTATTAGCCGTTATCCATTGGCCTACTATGGTGGATACTTACGGCTGTTTGGCAGGATATTTTATCGCTATCGTCCTGCGTCTTGGTGGTTAGTGACAACTTCTAATTATTAAATAATTATTGTATTCAAACAATATAAATAAGATTATTACACAATATTTAAAGACTTTTCTTTTCGTTCTGTTATTCAAACGTATACAAAGTGTGGTAAAATTTCTTTTTTATATTTTAGATACATTTCAGATTTTTATTATTCCATCACTTTAAAAGACCGGGAAATCTTTTTAATACTTGCAGCATTTTTATTGTTTCTTCCGCGAATTAAAAAAAATTTATGATTTGTTTCAAGCATTGAAAAATAAAATCTTTTCTATATAGCTGTTTAAAATATCATCTAAAAATTTAGAATTTTATAAGTAAATGCTTAAACATGTAAATGTTTTCAGGTGGTGAAAGAGGACTTGGTATACTCCCGTTGATTGAATATCCGTTCTACGATAAGAAGACGCGCACCCAGAAGTTTCCCTTTCGCACTGCCGTCATGATGATAGCCCTCTTCACTCAACTCTTCACTAGTTTTCTCACCAGAACTCTGCTTGGCAAAGGATACTTTCCACAATGTTGCGACGTACTGAACATATACTCTCCCAAGAAGTCCAAGGAGCCGGGCGTCATGCAGAGCAGCTCCGGCGCCACTCTCATGGATTCATCCTCGGTAATTATGAATCATAAATTAAGTATTGTTCGTTTGGCGTACTAGGTCGATCGATGACGCACCGATCTCTTTCAGAAATCAACATCGGGTATAGATTCCTGCGATGGCGTCGGCACATGCGTTTACGACGACGAAAGAACCTGCGGTCACGAGAACGCGGTCGATCGCGGCGATGATGACGCGATGACCAACAGCGATCTTGCCGAGCTGTCGAAGGCAAAGAGCATCGGGACGTCGGTTGTGCAACGAGCGAACCAGAATCTGCAAAATCTGCGTAGCGCGATGCCGACGCCGGCGCGACACGTTTCCATGGCGAGCCCGGTGTACACGCCGATACAGAACGACGCATGCAGAGAACAGATTCTTGCAGTGAGGAATCTGCGGAGTCCTCTTGGTCCCCAGGGCGGAGTACTCTCGCCAACCCGGTCGATCGGTATCCCGGCAACTCCGATCACTCCGTGTGCCCCTTCTTACGCCAAAGTGGGCTGCGAGCTCGGACCCAGCAACGAGAAACCGCGGAACGACAGGATGAGCATCGTCGAGAGAAGCAACATGGAGTATATAGAGCGTGAAGGGCGTGAAGCTCGTCGGTATGGAGGGTGGCACGTTACGGAGACCGTCGCTGCAGGTGAGGGATGACGACCTCGACGTATCGTCGTCTTTATAAAGCCCGGGACAAGTCGGGCCATCGTTTTATTTTTGCGCGCGTTTTGTTTTGTATCTTCAGTTATTTGTATGAGTTAGTTTATTAAATTCTATATACTGGTTTTACTTATGTGTATGTTTTTTTATTTATCAGCGGTACGACTGTTCGTAATAAAGATGACGAGGTTCCGGGGAAGTCTTTAGACAGGATACCTCGCGAAGTCTCGGTTATCTCCTAGTATTTCCCATCCGTATAGCTTCTCCCCATGATATTTAATTTTAATACGCTGATGAATACTACTTTTGTTAATTTATTGTTTTTCTCCGTGTATCGCAGGTTTTCGTTCAAAGAAAGAATTTATTAGCAAATGAAATGTAGAGGAAGGGAAGGGATTGGAATACCATTTTGTTTTATTAAAATAACTCAGTAGATATATTTTATGCGACATAACTTTCGCTATAAGTTTGTTAATCACAGAATGATATCAATATAAATAGAGGTTCTTCGAGTAAAACGCTAAACTGAAATGCAGCTCTTACGATAACGCAGTAAACTAATGGCCAATCTGGTCATGTTATAACATCTAAACAGGCTAATAATAAGAAGTAATTTTGACGCCCCTAGAATGCATCGCAAACAATAATACAAAATATCGTGGTATTTCACAGTCCCCCCATCTATTCCATGATCGCCTCCTTTCCTCTACATAGTCTACATGATTCTGAAACATTTTGTTATCATTTGACAGAAGATGTAAAAAATCATTATTTGCTTGTCTAGGTTGCTTAATTGAATTTTACGCATATATTATTTTTATGCATATGTTTGGTTACTTGTCAGTAGCGCAATTGCTCATCAATAAAAATAGTGAAGATCCGGAGGATCCTCGCAGAATGAGGACCCTGAAAAAATCGAGGGTCCTCAGAGAGATCCTGTGCGATCTCGCAATCTTGGCGTGGCTGTTGGAGTATGTATTGAAGTAGATTTCCCATAGCTTCCCATACATAGCTCCCATGAGACGACATTTTGTGCCGCGTGTCCTCAGAGCACATTCTCACCGACACCGTCGGTGGAACTAGTCAACATTCTGGACAGAAGACAGAGCAGCAGCTCGTACGGACCAGGTTCTCTATCCCCCGTGCCGTCGATGGGGGTAGAGGCATGCAAAACCCATGGGACCGCGGCTGAAGGACAGAGTGGGCCCGAGCATTGCAAGATAAAGAGGGGCATCGTGCGACATCACAGGTATCTATATCTATGATGAAACGCGAGAAATGCAAATTAGATAAAAAGATTTCAGAATCCTTTCTTCTTGGTACACAATATCTTACAAAAATCTACGTACCTTAATGTTACAAGAAACAAAAAATCTACAAAAATTTCAAAATCTTTCGTTCTTAAATTTACATCTTTACAAAATATATTTTTGAATTTAACTTTGCCTACAACAAATCATAGCATAATAATTATGTACGAAATGAAATGTACAATGAAAATATTATCCTCTGAAAATCTTTTCTTTTCAATATTTATAATGATCTATTTCGTAAGATTTGTGGATTTCAAATTTAATTAAATTCAATTTTATACATGATATCCATAAATCAAAAAGAATAACATCATAGTGTAATGAAAATTATGTATATACAATATAAGATAAAATGAAAACATTATAATTCTCTATAATAGATATAATAGGGTGCTGTTGAAAATATCTTATAATGAATTCTCTCTCTTAAAAGAGAGTTTAATATTCGCTGTAAAAAATCCGATCATCGAACACTCTCTCCGGTCATGTTTCTCAAACGTTTGCGCAGCTTCAATGACACGGGCGACCGAGTGGCGTTGACAACGCTCGCCAGACAGCCGAATTATCCATCGATGCCACTAAGGCCGGATGATTGCCGTATGACATTAGCAAGGAAGGACAAGCGCCTGGCTACAATCGGCAGGCACTCGTCGATGACGAACGAAACGGAGCTCAGCAACACGAACAGCCTGATTGTCAGTCCCACCTTCAGCATGTACAGTTCTGCCGCGAAAAGTTCTAATTATTTCGTCACCGATGACGAAGCCGTCAGCAGATTCTAAAACGGGATTCCGTAACTAATAGGATCTCCAGAATCGAAAACGATACTTACGGACTTTATGAAGTCGAAATTGGCACGTCCAGCTGGTGCAAAATATCGTTCCGTAGTTTTTCCATTCATCAACTTATATATCTTTTTTTTAGATAGGAGGTAGAGAACAAAATTAAAAGCATGAGGTTTTGTATAAAATGGGCATTGAAAAGTTTTTTCCTGAATAGGAAGAATAAGAACAACGATGGCTACTTTGATTAATCCGAGAATAATCACCTGGAGTATTTTTATATTTCTATTCTTTACGATTTTTTTTAGATATGAAATTCCATTGAAAACCTGCAATAAAAAACTTTATATCAATTTTTACTTTTTAGAACTTTTATTTTTTAGAATTTTTATTTTTTACTGACATAACAAACTACTTAACGTGCTTAACATTTATTAAGAATTTCTACTTAATTTTTTTGAGAAAATTGTGAGTAAATATTTATATTCATAATATTCTAAATTTTAAAATATCAGTAAATAGTTAATAATATATGTAATATGCTGTAAACAATAATTTTAATTAGCATATAAAAACATCCAGGACCGTTTACGTAAAAAAAAAATAATTGATTACTCTCGAGTTAAGAACACTACGTATAACTTTGTTTGCGACATTGTGTTTGTTGTATAAAACAAATCTCTTGCATCAGCTATTCCACTGTTACGTCCCTGTTCTAAGGCATACTTGGAGAACACGAAACAATAAGGACAATCATAAGACCCGCCCCGTCACTCTCTTGGCGTACTCGATCCTGTAATTCTGTTTGTTGTACGATAGATTCTATCTAGAACTGTCACAAATTTACATATACGGAAAAGAGAGAGATATATGTATATGTGTATATTGAGAGACTGAAGTTTCTCAATCGATGAAAAGTCAGCTTGTGCCGGCTCGATAGTTAATAGAATTTATACTGAACGTTTTGTATTATGGATTAGGAACAAGGTAAATTACACGCTTATATATTTGTGATAATTTACGTGTTGTAATCTCTGTTACTGGCTACGTTTACACCGTGCGCTTAGTCCGCAACCTATACGATAGGTGTCTTTGTTTAACCTACAGGATAGACAAGGACATCTATTGTATAGGCCTAAATGCACGTTGTGTAAACGTAGTCACTGTTATGTTATCGCATTCCATTTTATTTTTATTTCAATGGTTTGAGTAATATTTATAGATATTATTCATGAAGAATCAAGTGGATGAAGGAAATATTTTATGAAAGTTACTTCGTAAAAGCAAGTTAGAATTGATATCAGAATTCAATAATATGACAATATTCAAATATGAAGTTAATCGATCTTAGCAATGGAAATGTATTAAAATTAATTCTTGATGTGAATGCGTATATATATTTATACATCCTTCATTCATTTGTTTCTTTTGAATAACTTTCGAATAAAAAGATGTGTAACATTTTTTGTTGTAATTAAGATGAATTACACAACGGATTGTTAAAACTTTAATTGATGTAATTATAATTTCATATTCATTGGAAATAAATTTTCTTCAATTCATTTAATTTATTTAGGTTCTATTATATTTATATGTATCGCTGTATGTGTATGTTTATCTTGTTATTCGTCAAGCATATATTGTGGTGTTGTTGTATTTTTTATGTATACGGAAACGCAGTACTAAACTAAACTCGTTACTTTCTCACAAGCAAGCAATTTTTTGTTACGCTATTTTAGCCGTATCAAAAATACTTAAACAATTAGGCATTTGTATACTATATATAAAATGTGAAATTAGAAACAGCGTTTAGGATAGTTCATAAGATCCACTTACCAATCTTCAGACTGACAACTATGTATAATGGAACCAATAATTTGTAGGTAATGTAACCAATTTTTGTAAATCGCAGGTCTCCTATTTCGCAACATTCCACTTGAACTTAAAATAAGATGAAACCAACGGCAGGCAATCTCTTGTTTTATTGAGAAACCAAGAGGCCTGACTGATTCATATAATAAGTATTAAATAGTATAACTTTTTTGTAAACACACACACACACACATACACACACACACACACACACGTATATACTTGATGTATATAGTATATGTAGGTATACACAATTGAGAAGGATTTTAATGCACATTTATAACAATTTTAGATTTCTAATGTGACCCAGTAAATTACTAGTCATTAAATAATAATAACTTGAGGATAGACAAGCAACACTTGTATTAGAATAGTTTAAATTTTATGATGTCCAAGACGAGAGAACTGAGATGAAAACTCAAACGATTCTCTTACAATATATAAGCCCGCGTACAAAACTTAATTAATAAAACTTGGTAAAAAAAAATCTCTTTGATTAAAGACATAAAGAAAAGATCATAAAATTTGAAGCGTTCTGTAAAATAATTCTAAATAATGACAGCACGAGTGTCTTAACCAACAGTTGAATAACTAACAAAATAATTCTAACGATATAACCGTGCATGGTCTTTATATATATATTGCTTTGATAAATTATTTCCGACGTGAATTGAAACATTTATATCCTATGTTTACAAAACTGAACGCATTTCAATGTATTCACGTGTCTTTTGAATCTATACCCCTACAGCACAAAGTTGCACAAAAGTTGCAGCAACACTGCAGTAACATTGCATGTTGCGGCAATATTGTAGAGATTTTGCAGCGATATTGCTGCAAATTCTGTGCTGTATGGGTAGAAAGTATACTTTCCATTTCTCTTGCCTCTGACATTACATAGTTCGGCGTCATGCTAATGAGTCTCATTAGCATGTGCGATAACGCACATGTGTACAGCGCCGAATGTACCGGAAATGAATGCATTTACTATTCCTCTTTAGTTTAGTTTTAGAGGAAGAAAGAAGAGATATGAGACCCGATAAATGTGGTCGTGAGAGAAACGACGCTGCAAACTCTGTCACAATCGGCAGAGCTTACATCGTTGCTAACAACGGAACGTCCAAAGAATGTAACATGCAAATTTATGATATGCCAACAAGAAAGTACGATATTTTTCCACCGATGCGATACCCTAGCTCCGTAGTAATTGTATAGCACAATACATAATTATCCCTAGAACACAAAGCTACAGCACAAAAGTTGCAGCAACACTGCTTGCAGAGATTTTGCAGCGATATTGCTGCAAATTTTGTGCTGTATAGGTTGTAATTAATCCACGTTACATTAGTGAGGAATGTCCTCCTCAAGCTCAATAATATTGTATATGTAGAAGGAGTAAATACGAATGATAGAGATAATCATCAAATATAAATATAAAGCGGGACATTCTTATATCGTGCAAAGGAACTTTATAGATAACAAAAATATCTTCTTCATTGCTCGTTGGAAAATATGACTTTATGCGCAATGTGAATATTTACTTATCGTTATGTTATTTCTATTAATTTAAATTTTGGGTTGATTATTGTAGATGAAATAGCCGAATAATTAGCAAAATCTCCAGTTACATATATAGTTGCAGTTTAATTAATTAATATTTATTCAATTAATGAAAATAATGTTAACACAATGTCAAGAAATATAACGGAAAATAACACGTTTCGGTATCATTTCTAAATGTTGTTCTCGTACGATCGTTAATCTCACACTTTTCCATTGTAAATGAGCATTAAATCTTAGGGACAAATCGTAGTTACTTAAAATGAGTGAGACTTCATACTCGAATTGCACCTTTAGACTCTCTATGCACTTTTGTAAGACGCGCACGATGTAAAATAGCGAAGAGACGAACATCGAATACCTGCATCAGTATTATTAAATTTAAGAAGACGAGCATTCGAGACTTAATCGACTCGTGAAGAACTGAAAGAAAGTACTTCATAGCATAGTACTTAATCTTTTAAGGTAGAATAATTCGTGATTCGATGATCGCACGAATACGTGTCCTTATTTTCTATTGTTCCACCACTTATAAGAACATTAACTCTAGTCTGAACATAAATATTAACAGAATATTAATAGAACATTAATTTTAGTGTAATGCAAAGTAAATTCTTATAAAATATCTTATATCACTTCATTAAAAATTTGTTTTCTTCTACTATCATAAAATTTGCGTAATATTTAAACTTCCCAAGCGAAGGAAAGTTAAAAGACGACATGATAACATAATAAATGCCACTAGAAATTATTATATCGTCTTTTGATTTTATTTTGCTTCTTGGATTCTATTTATCATTTCCGAAATTCTTCATGTTTGTATATGTAATTATCGTAGTATTTATATATCCACCTGTATATATTACATATCTATTTTCTCTGAAGACTTACATTTCCTCGAGCGTGTGCGTATGCGACCATCGGAGTTTTTGTAAGAAATATCCCTTGTAATGTATGCGTTTATACCTATATATATTACACGATATACTAGTTGTTAATAAGTAGTATAACAAGTGTATTCAATCTTCGGATAAATTACGTAACCAATATATGGAACAACGTGAATTATGTGCCAAAGCGTAAGATAAAGAGAATGCCATTGGCCTGACCGCGCCGATATGCCTTGGGGAGGATCTAGTGCGAAAAAATTGTGTAACTTGTTTAATTTTAAGGAACATAAACATCAATGTCTAGAAAAATTTACATTTAAAGTTATTCGCGATAACAAAAATAGCAACAGTCGATTAATTTATTAACTAATCGAAATTTTGAACTGCGTTGAAATCAGTTTTGAATTTAATTCTTTCTGATTTACCGAAAACTGATTGATTTTTTTCTGAAAGATGAAGATTTTAATACAAACTCGCTAAAAATTTATAAGATTTTTTTGGCACAAAAGTATAATTCAATAAATAGACGTGGGATTTAAAAAAGCTAACAGAGATTTATCAATGCACGATCAACTCCTTGAATCTTTTTGGCGGATACGGTCAGCTAATGTACAAGTTAGTCACTTAAGCTCGCCTTGATATAAGAGTTCAGCATTAAAAAAGATCAAGAGAAAAGAAAGCATTAACGTCCGATATTTGCAATGAAATTCCGGAAAAATTTTCCGATTTCGACAAAATTCGGTAAAAATATCTCAAATGTCACAATCTAAGATAGTTGCAGTGAGTTGACGGGAGTTTTAACTCAAAAAAAAAAAATATTAACGTTTCGTGCGAAAAGATACAAGATGTGTGAAATGCTATCGAT